TGCAAATGCAGTTTCAAAAGGATCGTTCTTCTTTGTATGTGCATCTTTCGACCATCTCGCATACTAAAAGAAGCCGGTCTTCCTGCTCTCTCTTATATATCCTACTTCTACGACCAACTTCGCTTGTTCAAAAACTACAACCATCCGAAGATGAAGCTTCAAATCACTAAATTTACCCTTTGCACTATTTTGGCTTGAACTTATTCGGCAAGAGGGGTATTTCCATGATAATATAGCTGAAGCAAGATATTGAATGAACCTACAAAATAGATAGTAGCGCTTCTTTTGAACTATTGTGAGAGTAGAGGAATTGAGGCTTTAACATGAATAATTGTCGCGGCCACTCCATGGCGAACAATTTCTGAAGAAAGCAACCGTGAAAGTCTCTCCTCGTGTTTGAAGAGTGAGGCCAATGCCGCCAGATATTATCTCAACTGGTTTCCCAGGCTTTATTTTTGATGAGTTAATAAAAAAATCAAAATTATCGGAGATAGCAGCCGTGGAGGAAATATCGAAATAATGGAAAATTTTGATTCCGCAAATTTTTCTTTTGCAGAAAATTTCTAAAAAACCTAAAAAAATCACAGCTATATATGTAGTACTGTTCCGTGCCTATAAGCTACAGAAGTTTCTGGCTGAACCCTCATATTCGGTAGGAGTTTACAACTTGCCAAGTATGACCGTGCCAAAAAATTTCTTTTTACTTCCTGGCTTTCAGTAATTTGCTTGTCGGAGCTACAGTTACAAAAGAAAATGAAGCAAATAGAAGAGGTTGCTGATCACAGTAGTTTTTACCTCATTCCAAAATATGCAATTTCAGAGGAGTTATGACGCTTTGAAGTGAGAATGTGCAAAACCTGCATTAATTTGCGGACAACCTAATACCATCTGTCAGGTATAGGATAGACTTTTACAAATGATGGGTTTTGGATTTTCGCGAAAAACTGTTTCTGTTCTAAGAATATTTTTGTAAGGAACAAAACTGGGTGCGAGCATAAAGGATGGTCTCGAATGTGCTTTCAATGAGCAGTGGTTCCAGCTATCAACTACATCAATTAGCTGGAGACTCTTTCAAACCAAACAATAATGCTTTAAAAAGTGAAAGTAATTATTGCTTCAAAGACGCGGAAGGGCACTTTGGCAGAATTCAGACAGAGTTAGGAAGCTTAAATAGAAAACTGTGCAACATTCCTTGATATCCGTCAGCTATAACGACTACGACTGATTCGTGTTCGAGTACCTGGCTTGAGGATTAAAAACTTGAAATATTATACTGTATTGCAGCGCAGCCGGAGCGCTTCAAAAAGAACAAAATCTGTTTATGGTTAATATGAACAACAGTGACCTAGGATTGCCATACACGTGATTGAATGCCGTTAAATGTCAACCACCTTTGTGGTGAAGATAAAGATGAAACAAAGCAGCTCAACCTTTTAATGCACATTCAAACAACCTAATACAAATCCTCCACAATTTTCAAACCTATACAGGTAAATTTATATACCGTAGACAACCAGCTCGAAAATTTTGCAAACAATGCTGAGAGCTGTGAACTCTTGTTCTACTACTGCAAAGTCAGTCACATCAAGGAAGACTGCGCCGTCGCTTTGGAAAACAGATTATGCGCTGGTGATTTCTTGCGCTTGAGCGGTGACCTAACGAAATTTTCTGAAAAATGTGAATTTCTAGTTTACCTAAAAATGGCACGGTATTCAGTTCACGAACAAATGTGGCTATTAACAGTTTTCATAAGTCCGAGGTCGCATGTGTATGAGAATATGATATTTTCCATGTGTAATGCCTTGTTTACAGCTTGAAGGTGTAAAGTACCAGTTCATATGCACCAGTGATTGTGAAAAACCTATAAAAAGCCTATAAAGCATTTGTTTTAAAAGTGCGGCTAACTACCGGATTAGCTTTTCGAGTAACACAAAATGGATGATTTTGCACCTTTTACTTACGACGCATTCGAAATCATTTCGAAGTACTGAATTCAAATCTGCTGTTCTATCTGCAAAAGATTATCTCGGAGAGAATAGAGCTTTTTTCCTTGCAGAGTTTTTATGCTTCGATGTTACGGTGTCAACATACAGATTTTGATGCAGCTGCATTATGCTCCTATTAACAACAAAAAATCTAGTGTGATGTTAATGGCAGACAAATAACATTTTGCGAATTAGAATTAGCAAAAGAGAGACTTCAAGCTGTTTTGAGCTACTTCATCATGTCCGTTCCTTAGGCCCCTATGCAAATTAATCTCCAAGGGAAGGGGAGGGGAACTCAGAAGGGAAGCGTCATATCTCGCTAGTCTATATATCTTTTTTATTCATTCTCTATCTTGTGTTGAAGGTTCTCATACACTGATACCTGCGCATAACGGATGCCAGGTTACTACCATATAAGATTAGATATTCACTGATCCTCAGGGGATCCCCAGGAGATCACCTCTCATTTTCAAAGTCATTTATCTTTTTGAATCAATTATAATGCTGTACCAAAATGTACTAAGGATATGCTACGACACTGGTGAACACGTTTATGGTAGAGATGAGTGAGATCTCAAGATATGGAAATCTTCCATGAACTGCTGCTCGCGGGCATTATCGTAAAATCACAATCTTCAGATTCCACTTCCTTTGTCGAAAAAAATCTCGAATAAACGAATATCGAATAAATTCGAGGTTCAAAAATTCTCGAATGAATGAAATCCGAATAAATTCGGAAAATCAAAAATATCGAATGTATGAATATCGAATATATTCGAACATTGGAAGTCGAATTTCGATTAAATATTCGAATGATTTATCGAATAACTAGAGCAACAAATCTCAAGCTTGCCGACATATCTGCCTAAAGCAGATCCAATCATAATCAGCACCCTCGCATCCCCTATACCAACTGAAGGGTAGTAGGAATACTTACGGATAGGCACAAAAGGTGAAATCCAGGTATCTGGAATCCAGGTATCTGGAGTTTCACCTTTTGTTCCAATGTTCAAATATATTCGATATTCATTCATTCGATATTTGATTTTCCGAATTTATTCGGATTTCATTCATTCGAGAATTCTTGAACCTCGAATTTATTCGATATTCGTTTATTCGAGATTTTTCACTTTCAAATTTTTTCGATATTCATTTATTCGAAATTTTTTCTTTTCGAATTTATTCGATATTCATTCATTCGATGAAAAACTTCGAATGTACCCAAGTATATCGTCTACTCATAAGATGATTTATGAGATCCTAACACTAAATGCTGCTGTTGTTTGAATAAGTTATGTCTATAAAAAATGCAGCTACAACAGCTACAAATCAATTCAGTCAGTCTTTACTCTACTTGTTTACAATTTCTAAATAGTCACTAATCCCATTAAGAGAATGCGCACTTCCAGAAATTGTCAGCATGCGGTTATAGCAGTAGCTACAAAAGAACATACTTGAAATATTTTTTACCTTTAAGTCAAGCTCATTTTGGTTATATCGCATGTTTGCGCGACCACAGGTCTGCTAACACCTTGCTAGCAACAAAGAATTCGAATGTGAATAATCTACTTGTCTAATGCACATATCTGTAAAACACGGAAAGGTAGTTTGAAATACGCATGTAGTTTAGAACATTCTGCTACTTCTTCTGATGCTCTGTACCGATGCTTAGTCAGTATATTACGAAATTTTCGAGAGAATAGCCCTTCGTCTGAATTCAATGTCCTGTGCAAACACAGCAGATTCACAGCTCGAAATTTTCGATCAGTTTTTTTGCGCTGTACAACATTGTTTCGAAATTTGAAGAAAAAAATGCCCATTCGACGTTGCAGCCGCCGATTCTGATCAATTGCAAATTCATTCGATTCGTTGAATCACATTACATTGCAAAAGTCACAAGAGCAACTAATCATCAGATGTTCAAACACTGCGAAACAAATGTTAAAATTGAAAGATAACTCTTTATCAAGAAGTGAAAAAAAAACAGGAGTAGCCATACAATGCACATTAGTCATGATCTCCTTAAAGGCAGCGGACAGGCAAATTGGACCCCTGTCAGATTTTGGTAGTTTCGGGTAGTGGACACCCCAAGTACATCGTAGCCCCAACCCCACATTCCAATCATGCGCTAAGTCCTGAAAAAAGCGCTTCAAAACTCCACCATCCCCGCCCACTTCCATTGAGTGGGCGTTATTGGTGGAAGTTTAAAGCGTTTTTTTCAGGACTTAGCGCATCAACTGAAAGTTGGGGTTGGGGCTACGGTGTACTTGGGGGGTCCACTACCCGAAACTACCAAAATCTGACAGAGGTCCATTTTGCCTGTCTACTGCCTTGAAACCCTAGTAGTTTTTATAGCGAAAACTTTTCAGAAAACCTTTTTTAAAGACAAAATACTTTGCATACCGTTGTTTGAAAGTACTTACAATTGGAAAGATAGATTGTATGCGGTGTAACTGCACAAAGAGTTTGAGCTTCGGCGAACAGCTCCATGCTCGTTCCTAGTGTGGAACAATCATTGCACTTTCTCAAGGGAAGTGAGCTTAATTTAGTGCCGCAGATTCATAGATCTACCCTGTAAGAAATGACCTTGTAATTTATGAATTGTTAATCCACAAATTTTGTGGCGTATGGTCGGTAAGGAGATTCACCATACAAGTGCACATTCCGAGAAAGAAAGTGTAAAATATCAGTTGCTGAACTCTACTTGCCCGGACACAATAAAATTATTTTTATTGTTTCGAGCTGACAAAGGCATAAAATTCTGAACTAAACATTCAATGGCAAAGTGAATGTTTACTCTCCTTTAATCTTTACTTTAAACATATTGTTTGGTCTTATTTTGAAGTAAGACACATAAACTTGCTGGATTAATTACAAGTCGTAGTCAGCCTCGTTTTAAATTTTCATTAATTCCATTTGGTATTACTCACGCTGTGCAATAAGAGCTACAAAAGTGATAAAGTGACGAGTAGTTGTTTCATAGACAATCTGCATTTATACAGCTGTCGCTTTTATAGGAAATGTTATAAAAGGAGCTATGCAAACAGTTCGACAGCATTCGAGTGAAATCGCATTCATAGAATGGCTCTTGCATATCTCCTTCTCCTCATCTGCATCGTCCATGCTGCCACAGCAGAACAGTCTTGCCCGGAACCGATTGGCCGTAAGTAATTTTCTTGAGAAAAATTAGATGTTGAAACACAGTGCATCAGTTGTACCAAACTTTTAGCTTGCATTACTCAATTGTGCCCCGCGGAGAATCAGATCTGCATAAGAATGAAAGGTGAAGAAGTCTGCTGCGATAAGACAAAGGTACGGGAGAACTCATTTCGCTAGATAAAAATAAAAGTGTCTCAAGTCAAAATTTTCTTACTATTTTCTGTCAACCTAGGATGGCGAAGAAAAATTTTTAAAATGATTTCGTGAGATTTTCAAATTACTAGAGTTTATTACAGGTGCAAGGAGAGCCTGAAGAGATTACAGGTAAGCATTCATTTTGATGGCAATCTCCTATGCAAGGTATTACAATATTGCAGAGGTCAACTGAACCTCAAGGAAACCGTATAAGCGTATACTGCATGTGATGTCATACTGTTTTCGGTAACAAATAAATCTCTTCTGACTACAAACATAAACATTGCATATCACATTTGTGCTACCAAATGCGAAAAGTTGACCAGCAATGAAGTAATGATAAATAATGATAAAGAAAAACCGCTGATGCTGAGAAATTCGAAGTTTGTTAGGTTTAAGCTGCATGTTTACAATGTTCTGATGAGCAAGAGTGGAAGTAAAGAGTGCACATCTAAAAGGGCTGGCAGCTTAGGTTTCTTGTGACGTCTCACATTCATACTGTTTCCGATTGCTTGATAAACCGGCTTCAAGAACATTTGTAAGTGAGAATTTGAACAGGAGAGGTACAAGTTAACTTGCTTTCTGTAAAAGCTTGAAAAAAGTGGTGATGGCACAATGATTTGTGATAGGCTGAAGTGACAGCGATGATGGGCGCAGTCACAAACCTATAACAGAAGATTAGATTGCTTTGAGAAATGCCTGCCAGACTCCTATAGTCCCCAACATCCTCAAGATAAAAGATGTTGTCACATGAAAATAAATCTAACAGACAACATCTGATGTGCATTTTTGTCATAAATAAATAATAGGATTTTGTCGAGAAAATGCTGAATTTAATGTTAACTAAGCTATTTGGTTGTGTATTTAGTTCGTTTACCTTTTTTGTTCTAATTTTTTCTCGTGTAAAGCATCTACTAGAATCTTTGTATGCATTCGGAAGCTCTAACAAGGGGATATTTGGTCACCGCGGTCACTCATAACGATTTGTATAAAAAATTGCGCCTTTTGATGCTGGTTCGAATACTGCCTTCCGTATCTGCGAAACGATAATCTGGATGGAGTTATGATTATTATTCCATGAATAAACTGCGTTACCGCGGAGGGCCAAAATCATCAATAAAATTTTTTTCCTTTTCAAATGCTGAATATGATTTGGATAAATATAATACAACAGTATTCCTTTTAAGATTCTCTTCAATAGCTTCAAATGACAACTTAGAACAAATTTGGTTTTTAATTACACAAAAGTACGCAAATTTTCTACGAAAAAAAAAGTTCATAACTTCCTTCAGAAGATTGTTTCGCAGATATCGAGCACAGATTTAAAATCAGCTTTTCGAGGTGCATCTTACAGTATACATCGCATTCCAAATGGCCACGGTGACCGGTTCTTTCCTTGTAAGTCTGCTGTACCAAATTGCTTCATTACCTTCTCAAATTTGAAAAGTTAAGTGAAAAATTCGACCAAAGACCGGGAAATACGAGAGAGCAAAATATATAGATCAATTACTTCAAAATTCGATTTTGGGAGACACGCAACTCAAACGCGAAAAGGAACGCCTTTGCGGCAAAGTCTTGCTCTGGACTTATGCAAAATGGTATCAAACGGCTGGTGAAAGGAAGTGAGCACGCACAAGTAGTGTTAGTAGGTGCATAAGTGATTAGTCTGTTGCTTTTAATTGTCGTTAGGCTTTTTGAACAAATTTGTTCATAGTTAAGAGGTAAAATTAAAAGAGAAAAAGGTGTCGAATATGGATTTTTCGCTTTCTCGGATTTTTCGGTTTGCGGTCAAACTTTCTAACCAACTTCTTGAAATTTGAGAAAATCGTGATCGTGGCTGGCAGAGCGGACTACCCCAAACTTCCGAACGCATGCAAACATTTCGCCAAATGCTTTGCAAAACATTGAGAAAAACTAAAGCAAAAAAACGCGAACGAGCTTATTACAAACCCAATAATTAGAACCATCTTTATCGTAACGTTGTTGGATTTGTAAGGTAGATGGCTGCCCAAACAATCTATGTAAAAATGATCATAACGCGATTACAGTTATAGATTATTTTATCCATACTCCTTCTCCTAAGCCGTTTGCGGCTCTTTTCATTGGTGAGATAATGCACATTTTTTGCGCTTTGTTGGATGCGCCGACCAATGTGGTGACCAGCGACCAATGTGACCACGTCTCCGACTTTGGGAAGTCGGCAATGCAAAACTGCAATCAAATTTACATCGTCTTTTTTCGATCAGCAAAGGTAGCGGCGCGAGTACTTTTGGCGAGGTACGGCGGCGGCGCGAGTACGAGGTGGTAGCATGGGGGAGGGGGGGGGGTAGGTCCCATCCGAGGTGCGGGCGTCAGGTACCAGCCATAAGTGGTATACACTAAGCCACGCCCCTTGGTTGCTCTAACAGCGGGTGCCTAACGATACACCAAATCCTAGCTGCTAGAACTGCTCACCTAGCTCGCTAAAGCGCTGGCGCTCGCGATAGTTCAGAAAATCAAAAAAATTGCGCGAGTGAAAGCACAAGTTTACATCGCTTTTTCTCATGCTTCTTTTTTTAAATCCATTTCAGAACCACAGAAAGTCGGTGCTGAAAATGAAAACAGGGTATTATTTTATGAGCATTTCACATGATTTTGCAAAATAAAATCATGATGGTATGAACCGGTAATATTAGCGGGAATTTCATAAAAGTAAACTTTGTAGGATAGTAACAAATCAAAACCTTATAATTTTGATGAAGCAAAGCGCACTTAAGGATGCTCTTCTGGCAAATAAGTCACACGAAATATTCCCTTCACATATTATCGTCAGGCTCGTTTTGAGGCGTAAAGTCAAGGGTCATTGTACTTGCGTTGATATTGCCACAGGGATTGTGCTACGTTATCGTAGATTATTAAGGCTATAACTTCGGTCGTAGTTAAGGCCAACAGATTTATGGGACATTACTTTGATAAGCATACATTTTTCTTTATTTCGGAAGATTTCACATTCCGTATGAAAATTCCACGGAGCTACTGTATTTTATCATACCTATGCTCCCTGCAGTGCTTCTTTTGAGGACCTTCATATTGCAATTGTTTGTTATTCATTCTCTTTTCTAGCAGCCAAAATTGCTCAGTTTATCCAACCAAAGCTATAAATTTTTTGTAACTCACTAAAAAAGATTTTGTCAATAATTGTTCTTAGTAGAGTTGCTGCTTTTTCCTGTTTCATTCTATAGCACACTCTCATCCGAAATTGGCTAGCTCTGTAACTGTAATGAAAATTTTCATTGATTGGAACAGAGCCCTTCCCATATTGATGGATCACATATCCTCCATCCGATTTCTGATGACAAGTTCTCGTTGAAGCTCTTCTTGCAATCGGTTCCACTTCTCATTGTCAAAAATGTTTTTTTTAACAAAGGAATACTCCGTGCAACTTATTTGCCGAGAGCACATCCTAAAGTGCGCTTTGTTTCAGTAAAATCATAAAATTGATTTACTGACATTCTACAAAGTTTACTTTTATAAAATTCCCGCTAATTAACAATTTTGGCTCAGATCATCGCGATTTTTTTGCAAAACTTTGTGAAGTGCTTATAAAAAGCTGACCCTGTTCCAATTCTCAGCACCGAGTTTCTGTGATTCTAAAATGGATCGGAAAAAAGCAACAGAAAAAGCGTTGTAAAATTGCGCCTTCATTCGAGCAAAATTTTTTTGATTTTCTTGAATTATCATTTTTCTGTGGGTCGCGAGCGTCAGCGCTTTAGCGAGCTATGTGAGCTGTTCTAGCAGCTAGGATTTGGTGTATCGTTAAGTACCCGCTGTTCAAGCAACTAAGGGGTGTTTTAGTGTTTACCACTAATGGCTGGGTAACTAACACCCGCCCTCTAGCGTGGGGGATCGTTTCCTGCTTGTCGTGTGCGCTTCGTCTTTGATATACAAGAATTATTTTAGTTGGTACTCAAACTATTCCTGTTGCACGTGTAGAGATGCTTCAAACTAAAAATATGCCATTACTTCCCTATAGACCCACTAATTCCCTTCTCCTACGTTTTTCCTCAATAATGTAGCTTTTCCGGATGCTCCCCCAGTTGATGAGAGTTGCCGTCCTTCCAAAATGCGCTTAATGGACATAATCACCCATCAACTTTCTTTTTTTAAACTGTTGGCTGGGTCTTTTGCGTGATGAGATTTCGTACGGTGATGTTGAACAGGCGGTATCAAATGTGGGCTAATTCAATTTTTTTGACTAATTTTATTTTCATTTTTTCTCGCAAATCGGTGTCTGAATTCTAACGCTTCTAACCTCCTGATCTGGAAGCATTCCGAAAAATTGAATCAACAAATTGTTCATTTCGATTTGTGAATGACAAGCAGGGCAAGCAAGAAGTGTCTCAGGATGGCTAGACACGATTTTCCTTGATTACTGTTCCAATAAGACCTCCTGAACTATTGCATACCAAAGATAGGCAAAACATGAAGGCCCTACCAAATATGACTAGTAATATATCCATAATTAGCATTTCAGATAACCTTTTTGGACCACGTTTGAGCAATTATGAAGTCCACAAGTAGTCTGCCATCCGGGAGACATGGTTATTTTCGAACATGTTTTGAAGTTATCTACCTCTTTTTGTGCCAAAAAAATACTACCTATTCTTTGCCCAGAATCGACTGCCAAAGTGTGGAATTAGAAGCACCAAAATTTCGTTTGTTCCACTTCCTGCTTTTGGTGGCTGTCTTTCTTCAATTTTAGGTTGTAAAGAAAGTTCCCGGGCACTTTTGAAAATTTCATTTTTGAACGCATTTTTTCGCCGCTCGGTCGGACTTTGACACCAAGTTTTTTAAACCGTTCAGTAGAGGAAAGCTTGAAGCCTTCAACAAGCCGTCTGACTTTTATCTATGCCAAGACGTGCTTGATCTGCACGTCAAGAAGAGAAATCTTTCCAACCAAAAAAATTTCGCAAATTTTCTTCTTGCGCCCATTTTTCTGTGCAGTTCAAAGAATTTCGTCCAAATTATGAGTGATTTGATTGAGGAGCCTTTAACTTCTGACCCGCTGCTGCACACGAGTTTTGCGATTTGCGCTCAGAAATTACAAGCTGTCGAACTTGCCTCTGACTGCGACTCTTTTCGCAGCTGGCGTCGCTTCTGGAGGATC